TTCCTTCATGTATTCTTCATTCTGTGTTCTATATTCTCTTTTCCTATCTCTATCCAGAAATTTCCTTCTGCCTCTCTTGATGTTTTCCTTCTCTCTCTTTATTTTTTTCCCTTACAGCTTATATACCCCAGCAAAATCTTTCAGACAATATAAAAATTACAACGTGGTTAGATTCTATTTTCAAGTGAAAGATGACAATGAATGTTGGTTAAGCGGTGGCGCTCGGTGCTCATGGCTGGCCACCACCCATGGCAGCCATGCCGTCGGACGTTGTGGTGGCAGAAGAATCACGAGCCATGGTTATCTTTTTAGAGCTTTATTGGGAGAGGAAGAGAGAGAGAGAGAGAGAGAGAGAGAGAGAGAGAGAGAGAGAGAGACCACATGGAGGGGAGAGAATATGGAAGAAGAGAATACGGAAGGAGAGAGTGCGGAAAGAGAGCACAGAGAGGGCATGCCTGCTTTTAAGGCTGGGATGCCATTGCAAGCTAGTGACATAATTAAGGACCGAATCCTTACAATGAATACAGGTTTAAAAAAAAGCATGTTTTCCATATCCCTTACATGATTAAACATTTTTACATATTACAGGTGAAAAACAAAGCAACTTGTTGTAGATTAACAGTGTAGGCAAGTTTCTTTGTAACAGAAAAAAGCAGCCTACCAGTAAAAGAATACCTTGCCTACACTTATTACTTATCTTGAAAGGTAATCTTTTAAGAATCTTAAAGGAATCACGAACTTAAACTTTTATACATGAAAAAGAATCAGTCAGCTCTACTTTAAATCTTTAGGGTGCATACCACTCATCAACAGTTTTTTATATCAGGAGATTGAGGGCAAAAATGGGTATAGGAATTAATCATTACCTTTGGTCATCAACCAATCCTAGCAAGAAAGACATATCAGCTAATGATAATCAGGCTGGTTTGTTCTTGTTCCCTGACCTTAAAGAATTCCTCACTCAAATGTGTACCTTTCTAAAATGTTAAATTGTCTTGGGCTTTTCACCTCAAAGCTATTTGACAAAAACTTCTTAGTCTAAACTTATTTTCAAAGCTTTGTTTCAGCTATGATGCACTCTGAAACCTGTGAACATACCTTCCAACATTAAGATTAGAAGAATTTAAGCTAGCTGGGTTTCTGGGACTCAATTGTTTTTCTTAATCATTAACCTAAGCCATAGTCTATGCAACTCCTCAATAGAAACTCATGTGATCTAGCTGTGTGACACTTCCTTGTTTTATTTTTTATCATCAAAACTCCACTTAAACTAACATTATTATTATCATCAATTAGACAGTGCAGCTTAGGAAAAAAATCATGTTCATCATAATCCACAGATAAAAATGCCCAGTAGAACAGGATGTTTCCATGAGATAAACAGTACATTGCAGGCAGTGGGGATCTCCTCACACCCATTCACACCATGTTGGATACGAGAGAGAGAGAGAGAGAGAGAGAGAGAGAGAGAGAGAGAGAGAGAGAGAGAGACAGAGAGAGAGAGAGAGAGAGAGAGAGAGAGAGAGAGGCAGCAAACATGTCAGGGCACAGCAGAAGCAAGGCATTCTGGAGTCTGGGGCCTTGTCTATCCAAGGTTCACCCATCAGAATTCGCCTCCTGCTGCTCCTCCTTCCAGTCCTTCCACAGCATCTAACTCTCCTCTTCCCTTTTCTTCTTCTTCCCTTCCCTCCCACTCGTTGCCACCCTCTCTTTCTCCTCTTTGGTTATTTCTCTCCTCTTTGATTCCTACTGTGCTTCCTCCCTCCCTTCCATCCTCCCTTCCCTCTTCCTTCACCTCTTCCACCCCTCTGTTCAAAAAGTGTGTCTGGGAAGCTGTTCCCACCTCTCAACCCGTATAATGAAGGGTACCAGGTAAGAACCCACAGGCGATTCTTGGTCATTTGGAGCCCCATAGCAGAATTAAAGACCCTATGAGGCTCTAAATTCCATAAGGAAAACCACAGGAGCAAAAGTTTGTACACTAATTTGGTCCCAGCCCCCATCCTGTTTAGCACCGATCCTTATCTTTGTCAAAGGGCATCAGCTTAGTCACCTCAGGACTTCCCTCAGAATAGTACAACAGTTTGGGAGACAAACACATGGAGCAAAATCGCCATCCATGATTGCCACCCTAGCATAAGCTTCTGTATCCCTATGTGCCGATATCTGAGTGTCAAACTGGGCACATTCTCAGTTCCTTTTATCTCACACGGCATCCTTACCCTCAGCCCCAGAACCTTATTCCCATCCGGCAGAACGGGAACATCAGAGCTTCACAGTCCTGCATAGAACCTCCCCCGCCCCCAACTGTGACTACATAAAGTGATGTTCGGAGGTACTAGGGTTAGAAGTTTTTGTTTTTTGAGACAGGGTTTTTTTCTGTGTAATGGCCCCTCGAACTCACAGAGATCCGTTTCTGACTCCTGAGTGCTGGGATAAAAGGCATGCGCCACTATGCCCGGCTAGGTTTAGAATGTTAATATGAATTTTAAATTCTGTCCCTGAAAGCCCAGGCTCTTTCCATTTTTATACCTGAGTGGCTTCAAGTGCCCCTGAACTGAGTATCCCTTCCAGGAATATCAACACCCAACAAATAATATAAATTCCACGCTGCCCCAAGATTCCCGCAGAGGCTTAGACGCAGGCGCAGCTCAGTTTCCACGAAGCAACACCGAAAAGCATTCTGGGGGGAGTCCGAGTGAAGCAAAATTAGTTGAAGACAAGAAGCGTTTGAAGAGGGTCAAGAACAGGACATCCTCCTTAATTAAGCTTGAGTTGCATTATTAGAAGCGTAAGTATTGTTCATGGGGCTGGAGAGATAGACAGCTTAGCATCTGAGCGCTCTTTCTCCTCTTCCAGAGGACTCCTGTTCAGTCTCCAGCACTCATGTCCGGCTGCTCTCACCAGGCTGTAATGCTACCTTCAAAGGCTGATGCTCCCTTCCGGCCTCCTCAGGCACACAGGTATTGCATAATTAAAAATAAAAATAAATCTTAGAAATACACTATTCAGAATTCCTGGGGGTCAGCCAGTGAGAGGCAGAAACCAGAACCTGAAGAGTGAGGTTCCTCTGAAGTCTCCTGCACACACACGGTGCACAAGCATGCATCCAGAAACCCAGATCTATCTACACACAAAATAATTATTTTTAAAAATTGTTTCATTAGCTGAAGGACACCACTTTCCTGGTGGTTGTGAAAACTATAGTGGCCTATTCTTCTCCTGAAATGGGGAGAATATTTCTTCAAGAGTAAAATACATTCCCAAGGCAGCTCTTCAAATCCAAATATGTTTACTTTTAACAATGCAACTCTTCTTCAACCAGGGAGGAGAAAGGGCGGGGAGAGGGTGGGGCAAATGCATTGAAAGCATCCAGTGCTGACTTCCATAGCCCAAGAGCAGAGATCTCCTGGGGCCTTCCCGCAGACTATTCCCTAGTGCAAGGGTGGTCAGTTGGGTGTGCGTGGGGTGGTGGTGGTGGGGTGAGAGGTAAATCAGACAAGTGGGCAGGCCTCTAGTACTAAGACCAGAGGCTCCTAGTACTCCACGCCTGCAGGATGCAGCACTGGACATAGAAGGGTACAGCATTCCATCTCCACCTTCTTAGGATTGTGGCTGGATTTGAGAATTAAACTGCCATGAAACAGGCTAACAGAAGAAAAGCCTAATACAAGTTTAACTTTTATCTTTTACATTGATTTATTGTGTGTGTGTGTGTGTGTGTGTGTGTTTGTGTGCGTTTGTGTGTGTTTGTGTGCATACACAGATGTAGGTGCACCATAGCGCACACAGAAATCAGAGAACAACATGTGGGAAAATGTTCTCTCTCTCCGTCTTGTCAGCTCTGGGGATTAAGCACACCTGGTCAGGCCTTGCATCTCTACCCACTGACACATTTCTACGGCCCCAACAAAGGTTTTTTTGTCTATTTGCTTCATTTTGTTGAGACAAAATTGCTCTACATAGGCACAAATGTCCTCGTACTCATTATGTAGACCAGGATGACCTTGAACTCAAAGAAATCCACCAAGATCTGACTCCCTCTACCTCCCAAGTACTGGGATTAAAGACATGCACCACCATACCAAGTGTAACTTTATGTAGCACAGAAAGGTCATTTTAAAAGGGGGAAGTTACTGATATGTGGAGCAGATCAAAAACCAAAAAACCCACAATGTTATTATGTAAAGCACAGAGACTTGGGCCAGGGTGGCTGTGGGAAGAGTAGCTATGGAGATAAGTTTAACAAGGCTGACTGGTGCATACTTCTTTGGGCCTCCACTTTCTTATCCTTGATGATGGCAGTGAGAATGGTTTTCACGGGGAATTGGTTTCTGAAAAGCAGACTGTTCAGAGCCATCTTCTTGAGCCTGCTGATTTTCAAAGGCCTTTTATTCAAACTGTCCATCTGCCACACCTTCCTAGTTCAAACCCTGAGAAAAAGACAGAAACCCCTGCCCTGCTGCTCCTGAAATCAGAGTTCTGGAGATGCTTCTGATACCAGGACATAGCAGACACCTTTCTCTAGCCTGGGGTCTGGAGCCTTCTTTTCGTAAGGAGTTAGATATTAAGTATTTTCTACTTCTGTATGATATGGCTGTAGATGAACCTGGATGTGGCAACAAAGCTTACTGTGTGGGCTGCGGAGATAGTTCAGTTGGTAAAATACTTGCCATACAGAATGAAGATCTGAATTTGATCCTTAGGACTGGTATCAAAAAGCCAGGCTCTGTGACTCATGCTTATAATTCCAGTGCTGGGGAGATGGAGAAAGGAGGCTCCCTGGAGCTCACTGGCCAGCCACCTCAGCTTACTTAGTGATCTCCATGCAATGAGAGACCAGGCCTCCCAATAAGGTTAACGGTGCCTGAGGGATGACACCTGAGATTGTCCTCACACCTCTGTGTAAACAGAAGTTTTCCTGTGTCCCACTTACAAATAATCACTCAGAGGCTTAGTATAAATTATAAATGCTCAGCTGGTAGCTCAGGCTTATTGCTAACTAGCTCTTACGCTTAAATTAACCCGTAATTCTTATCTATGTTTAGCCACATGGCTTGGTACCTTTTCTCAGGACAACATTTTCATCTTGCTTCCTCTGCGTCTGGCTGGTGACTCCTGACTCTGCCCTTCTCCTTCCCAGGATTCTGAGTTTGGTTTTTCTGCCTAACTTCCTGCCCAGCTACCCACCTGTCAGCTTTTTATTAACCAATGAGACTAATACATGTTCATAGTGTAGGAAAGAATTTTTTCACAGCACCTCTATGTGTACGCACACACACACATACTCATCCAAACAACCCCTTATATATGGGCAATACAATTGTATGTAATTTGTCATGGAACAGAATTCTTTTACTTCATGGTTAATCAATTGATATATAAAAATAGCTATGAGTGAAACAAAAATAAGAGGCTATGAGCAGCCCTTCCATGGTGTGTAGGCTTTCCATCTGATCCAACAGCTTTGGACATCTGAGACCTTTCTAGAAACAATGTAAAAATTTCACATACAAATACTATTTTTTTTTTCTCAAACAAAGGTAATCTTCATTGGATGTGGTGGTTCACACCCATAATATTAGCACTTGGGAAGCACAGGCAGGAGGATTGCTGCAAGTTGGACTTCAAGGTCATCCTGGTTTACAGTTTGAGACTTAGCTCAAGAAACAAAACAAACCCATCACAATGGCTGATGCCAGTAATTCCTGAGTAAATCTGTTTCACTAATATTTTTCTAATTACAGTAGCATACTAGAAAGAACTGTCCCAAAGAGCAGACTCTAATGTATATTAGAGATCATTTAAAAATGCCTATTGTAGATTTAACGCCTCGATCATAATGGGGATTATTACGTGAATCAAGTTGCTTTCATGTGGTCAGGTTTGTCTCCATCCTTCTCTTGCTCTACTCCACAGCATCAAGAATTTCTCTCTCTGGCCCTTCTGCCCTCTGGCTTCCAGGTAGGCCTGGAATGATTAGCAGCGGAGAATAAGGCCGAAGCCAGGATAGCTCTCTGCCCTTGGGTCTCAGTTCCTCTTAGTATCCTCAGGACGTCTGCTTTCAGAGATAGCAGAAGCCTTTCGCTGCTACTGACCTGCGTGGTACTCACTTGTGAGTTCCCCCATTCTGGCAGTCAATTCATTTTTCTTCCTCTGACGATGTCTTTTAAATTTAGCCCAGGCCATCTGCTTCTTGCAAGTGATCTTTTTGTATGAAATCTTGCTGCAGACAAGTTTCCTACAGTGTTTTTAGGTCGGCATTTGATGTTCCTCTCTACCTGGGACAATTTGCTATCTTGTTTGCTGAAGAGCATTTACCAAGGACCTCTAGAAATACATGTGGTCAAGAAAAACTAGCTTCATCCAACTTGAGAGACAAGGGAGAGCGCCCCCAAGTGGAAGGGCGGGGCATCTAGATTTAGGGAGGGTGGGAAGAGAAAGGGAATCCGAACTGCTGTGGTCAGGAAGCAAGGCAAGGCATGCTTGGGTGGCCCTGACAGTGCTTTTAGGAGGATGAAGTGGGCGTGGAGATGTCACTGGTGCCTGTGATGCTCGGAGGGGGACTGTTTGTGCTTGTAAAGCTTCCTCCCCGCTTCCCTGCCACAGACATAATTATGGGATGTTTTGTCTCCATTTGCCTAGGACATATAACACAGCCATCTTTCTCTACTGATTGTTCAGACTGTAAAGAGTGTGTTCAGTTGTCCAATTGTATGTTTCAACAGACCTCACAGACTTGTTGTGAAGACTTGATGTAACTGTAAGACGACACATGAACGTTCAGAGAAACACGCTTGACATACAGTACCTGTGTTGTTCGTTTTTCTGTTGCTGTGATAAAACCCCACGACCAAAGCAACTTACAGAAGAACAAGCTTGTTTTGGCTGACAGTTCCAGGAGATCTGAGTCCATAACGATGAGGACAGCATGACAGCAGGCAGCCAGAATAGGACGCTGAGAGATCACATGTTTAAAGGCAAACACGGAACAGAAAGAGCAAATGGACGTGGGGCAAGGCTATGAAATCTCAAAGCCCACCTTCAGTGACATCTTCCAGGAAGGACGCACCACCTGCCCAACGAATGCCACCAACTTGGAACCAAGTATTCTTGTCCCCCAGCCTACGGGGGGGGGGGCATATCTTACTCAAAACTCCACAGTGTCTAATAATATTCCTTTCTTTTATTGACATTGCTGTGGAGAACCGCTGTTTATTTCAGGTCGGGGGTGGGAAATGCGGAAAGGTAGGGGCTTTTCGCCTTGCGTAGCTTTCCTAGGCAGGCCCTTCGACTAGCCTCGGCCGGTGCAGGAATCCCTCCCTGCCTGACTCAGGCAGACGCGTTTGTTTTTTTTCCGATTCCTGTACGGAGATGTGATCTGCAAGGTGGTCAGGATCTGATACCCGTGGGTTCCACATCCGACAAGGAACAGAGGTGCAGGGAGAGGCTGTTACCTTGCAGGAACGGTGCTGCCTGGTTGAGAGTCTCCAGACACCACGGGAAGTGTTTTCCCACAGCCGCTGGCGCGAATCCACGTCTGTTTTATGGATTTCAGAGCCCGCCCTGGTTAGTGAGGGAGAGGAGAGGAAGAAAGGAACTTGTCAAGACCACTCGCCGCTGGGCCCCTGAAGAATACTGGAAGCCAATTACATAGATTTGATTAGACAGTAATTAAAGCGGCTTTCCAGGGAGACCTCGTGGCGCAACGGTAGCGCGTCTGACTCCAGATCAGAAGGTTGCGTGTTCAAATCACGTCGGGGTCAACTGTTTTATACAGCCCACTGTGTAGGGAAATACTGCCCTTGCTTCTTCCAGTTCAGGATGCCGAATTTCTGTAAAGTTCTTACGGTGCTTTAAAAGAACAAACAAACATAAAAAGCATTCTGGTTGCACCCAGCAAGATTTTGTTACTCTGACGTCGAGCAGTCTGAGTTTCGCTTTCTGTCACTGTTTTAACCCCAGATTTCTACTCTCCATGCTCTACAGGTCTATGCTGGCCGCCCTCTCCTATCTCAGCCACTACCTTTTGCAGGCACTTAGATCTAGGTATCTCAAGCCGGTTGGAATGTGTGACCTAGGATTAAGGGCTACTCGCCCGATTTGGCTTTTCCATACCCAGTGTCACAGGATCACTGTGATTTCTCCATCTTCGCAAAAAATAGTTATTTCATTTCTAGAGGCAGGAGACCTGAATGCTGTTAGGCCGCCCAGTTCTGAGAATGAGCCATTAAAACTTGTGAGCGATAGAGTCCATGCCCCTTCCCCCCACTCAAATAAATCTCTATATTTAAAAAACAAAAATGCAGAAATGTGCCAGTACCTACTCTTCCATGGCTCCAGAGCCTCCAACAGAGCACCAGCACGTTTATTTCTTCAGAAGACTTTAAATTACTTTGTATTGATGACTTTTAAAATCAGGAATTTGGTCTATCAGCAGATACTATAAATGAGGTACAACACACAGCCAAATATTTTTTCTTTTCTTT